ATTTGACTATGGATCTTTTATTTTGCTTATTTTTTAATTATTTCGTAGCATCTCGGGGGACTGGTGTTCCTTGAAGTACACTTTGGAAAATGCTGCTCTACACCATGAAAGTATTTTTTCAACTCTTTAGAGGACTCTTTTATATTAGCACAAATACGTTTATTACTCAGAGATAAAATAGTCTTTACACGTTGTGGTCAATGGATTCTTGTCAATAAGTTTCTCTATTGGTTTCCAAAAGAGTGTTTATAATTCAGCTGGATATAAGTGTGAAGAGCCGGGTCCAACAGCAGTGGTGGTGATAGCCTTTATTACACGAGCCCTCACCTGTGCGCTCACTCGGGTACAGAGTCTAAAGTAGGAAGGAGGAACCTGAGTTCTGGTCTACAGGTGAGAGGATAACTTGCCCCATGTGCCCCACATGGAGCATTTATAACACTCCAGGCATTTTTTAAGGTGATGAGATTTTAAAAAACACTCATTTGAGATCATCGTAGATTCATGTGCAGTTGTAAGAACGAACATTGAGAGATCCTATATATTTTTTACCCAATTTCCTTGTGATAACATGTTACATAACAATATTATGATCAAGAAATTAGCACTGATAGAATCGTCAGCCTTATTTTGATTTCATAGGATTTACATGTCTGACGAATGCTTATGTGTGTTTACCTCTGTGCAGTTTTCTCACATGTGAGAATCCGCAGTCAGGATACAGAATAGTCCCATTACTAGGATCCCTTCTATATCCCTTCTGTAATCATAGCCAACTCTTCCTTCTTCTCTCCCCAACCCTGACAACCATTGATCTTTCTCCATCTCTGTAATTGTCATTTTAAGCATGCTTTATAAATGGAATCACAGCAGTAACCTTTTGAGATTGGCCTTTTTACATGCTGGCCACTTTAAACCTACTGTTTCCAATCTTTACAAAAATCTTACACTGTAGGGACTCTGAATTATCTTCCATAGATGAGGTGAAGCCTCTGAAAAGTGAAGGCACACTCAAGGCCGCACAGCTCGTGGACCAGGCAGGGAGCCCAGATACTCTCAGCCTTGGCTCCTTTGACTCAGATCTGACCTTCCTCCGGGATCTGGGAACTCACATTCTGTTCTTTTATGTATACAGTTCTCCTTTTCTCAAAACAAGAATTTCAGGAAATATGTATTCAAAATAAGGTTTCTTATGCTTTTTCTTTTTCTTTTTTAATTGTAACTTTTAAGAAAAGATTGAGTCACATTACTATTTTGGAAGGACAGAGATTGAGTACATTTTTTTCCCTCCAGCTCTATTTTGGGCTTATTACCATTTTCGGAGTTTTCTCTGCCTACCTCTCACCACCTTGACACCTGAACAGCCCAACTGCTGAGGACGGTTACAGTGCAGGGGATGAAGGTCGTGATCCTTGCACACCATTTGGCGAGTCGGTATATAGGCATCTTTGACTTGCAGCATATCAAAGGCTGTGCTTGGGCTGCTAGCTTTGGTTGCTGTGGTGCTAAACATGTTCCCTGAGCCCTTGGAACTTAATTCACTGCGAACTAGACACTATCACTGCACGTAAGATGGTGAGAAAGCAAAACACATACGTGAATCACAGTATCGTCAGATGCTATATATTTAAGAGAGGACTCCAAATACTAGAAAACAATGAAGCCTTTTGAAATCTCTGTGTTGGATACACTTTTTAACAAGAATATGAAACAATTAGCAAAATGGACATTTTTGTTGATCATTGAATTCCCCAGACATTCTCTTCTTTCAGGGTTTTCGAACTAGCTGTTCCTTGTCTGGAAAACTCCCAAGATTTCCACCTGGCTTGGCTTATTCCCTCACCTTCTTCAGGTCTCTGTACAATCACAATATTTTTGTTTCCCTCTCGTCTTCTCTGATATTTAAAATTACAACACCCCGCCCCTACCCATTCTCCTTCCTTGCATTCTTTTTCTCCATCACACGTTGATGGGTATCTAACATACCCTTATTTATGGGTCTGTGGATGGTTTTTCCCTGCTGGAATGTAAGCCTCCTGAAGGCAGAGATATTTGCCTATTTTGTTCACCACTGTATCCCCATCATCTTAGAATAGTGCCTGGAATATGTTAGATCTCATTGGATATAATTTGAATAAGTGAATGTTTTCAAGAGTAAAATTTTGTTTGAATTAAGTTGTAGGACAGAATGATCATGTCTGCATGGGTCAATTACTGGTAAGGTTCTCATTTAAAAATGTTGTGTCAGTTTAGTACAGATGCTGTCTTTTCTGGCCTATGGGGAACATGTTCCTAGCTGTGACTTGTCCGAGGGAAAATGACTGACTTTGGGGGAGCTTCTTCAGATGTAAAGGAAATTAACCAGCGAATCTGGGTAACTAAATCTTGCATACTATCCTAGAAATGTTTATACTTCTGCCAAATGGAAGCATGAGTTCAGTGTTTGCATAACCACCTGTGAAATTACTCCTATTAGCATTCTAGCATGTATTTGCTGAGTGACACTTCAATTTTGCAATAAAACTATTTTCACATGTTGGCTGCCATTGTGAAAATTGTTTCTCTCCTCCATTTGGAAAGCTGGTGCCACTGTTTTGATTCGGGGGGGTGGTGAGGTCTGGTGTGTGTGACATTTGCTTTCTTGGTGGAAGGAGAATCATGATGGAGGTAAACTTCTGGTTTCAATTTTTCTTTTCTGGGCTATTTTATTTTGTGCTAGGAATGGAAAAAGAACTATACATTGCTCTAGGGGTACTTTAGGTAATATATACTCTGATTGGAAAAAAAAACAAACCACTGTTGCCTTTGACAAAATTGAGTAGAGGGAGGTGGAAGGCCTGGTCTCCCTGGGACTGTTTTAGTGGTTTGGGGAGGGGTTTGGAGTGTGGCTGCAGCTGCTATGGCTGGAAAAGACCTCCTGGGGGGGTGGGGGGGTAACACCCACCTCCCTCCAGTGCCTGCAGAACTCCAGCTATGTGAAGTGTGGCTGTGTGGGCCCTTGGTCCTGTGTAAGAATGCCTGGAGGATAAAGCTTGGAGAGAAACGAGATAAGGGAGGCTTTTATGCAGCAGGTAATTTATGTTTTGCGACAAAGGCTCCCGCATGTGAACACTTGGCTTCTAAACAACACACACTTTGCTTCATTCTCTAGAGACATCCCTAAACCACCTTTGTGTACTGGATTCAGACTTTTCTATGTCAGCTGAACATTAGGAAATATTCTGAGTGCAACTATGAGGGGGATTTGGAGTTCAGTCCTTTGTATTTTGAAAGCGGAGATGCTGAAGCTCACTGGAGTTGACCAGAACACCTCCTCTTCACTAGTAAAGGTATTGCTAAATTTAAATAACTCATAGGGGTCAGACACCACTTATTGAATTTCTGAGAATAGTCAGTCAGCTGTCCTTTTCCCAAGAGAAATAACCTCAATTGAGTTACTTAAATCACACTTTTTCCATTTCTTGAAATAATTTTCATCACCCTGCCCTAGAAAAAGTAGGCTGCTGCAGAGTTGGTTGAGACAGAATTATGAAGCCATTTAGGTTATGTTAGCCGAGCACATCACTCTTAGAACTAATCTAGCAGATAGCTAGCACCTCCTAGTAAGCACCAGCTGCATATGATCGGTGTTTGCAAAGGGAACCAAAGATGTGCAGTCATTTTAGAGACAAGCCAGATATAACCTGAGAATCTCACAGAACACCAGATGCCAAATGATACGGTATATAACCAAGAACATAAGAGCTGTTTGATTTTAGACTCCTAATCTTTCTACTAAAATGTTTAAATTCTGTGGTCTTTACTCTCGAGTCCTCTGCCTACCCTTTAGAAATGGTTGAAATATTTGGATGTGGAATTAATGAGATTTTTGCATGTCTACAACCTTACTAAACAAACATATATCATTGTTCCTTGTCCCAGACACGTTTTTTGACCAGAATTTTGAATTGGGCAAAACATGTTGTATAGAATGGTACAGTTATTGGTTTACAGTGAGGAATTAAAATGATGACAAAGCGGGTCGGCTTTAGCTCAAGCGGTTACTTTGTCATGGCAGACGACTCAAATGATAATGAAGCCATTCCGTTAGCGGGGTTTTGTTTTTGCCATGTTAGCAGGGAAAATTTCATATGGTCCTACTTGCCAGTTATTTTGGCTGGTTTAAAAACCGTTACATGATTAGATTACAGGTTCTTTCTATTTTTGCTATAATGGAGGAGTTCAAGTAACCAAGTTTATCTGAATTTTTGAGAGTCCCTACTTAGGCTCAAATAACTAAGTCTGGTTACAGGGCCTTGGTTAAAGGCTGGGTTTAAGTATCGGGTGGATCTATCTTGGACTCTGTTCTCGGGAAGTCCCAGACGAGAAACTCATTATAACCCAGTTTTACCCAGAGCATGGCCCCTCGCCATAGACACCATTAGAACAAGGCTTAGTTTTATTTCCAACGAACGCATTGATTGTTCTAGCAGTCTATAACGGTTGAATGTAATAATGGATTTTGATTTTTTTTCCATGTTAGTTCAGAAATTACCACAGCGCTTCTCAGTTAATCAGATACTCAAGGCTCCTGTTTCCACACTGTATGGTTGCTGCATTTTTATGACATCACAGCTGTCTGGGGGAGGCTTCTGCTCCACCCCCACCCCCACCCCCCATCTGCCTCCTTTCACTGCTTCCTCACTTGCTGTGCTTTCAAGGTGGCGAATTCCCGAATAAGCTGCTGACTTCCCGCCCTGGCAGGGCCAGGCCTGAGGTTCACAGTAGCTTCTTTCACCAAGAGAATCTTTCTTGGCTACGAACCCCACCTCTGGAGCTTGCTCTGTGCTTAGGTGTTGACTCTTCTCCTTGACTTGGAAACTTGTTTAAGAAAACTGAAAGGTGCTTTCAGATGAAGCAGCTGTGTCCCCCTGCCATTTACTCTCTTGTTTTTAAACCTCAAAATGTTACTTGAAGATAGGAGGTTGCAGTCAAGGTCCCCGTTTACGAACGGTGCTGCTTACCTTGGGTTGTCTTTTTCCCAACGGTGTCTTCAGTTCCTGGCCTTACTCCCTGAGAGTACCATCTACAGGGAGCTGTTCCTCCTTGTCACCTTTTTAAAGCTTCTCAGATGTTCTCTCCAGTGCTCCGCAGCAAACTATGACAATGGGCATAAAAACAAGCACCTTAACCTAAGAAAAGTGAAAAAAAAAAAAAAGGTCGTTTCTATCTTAGCCAACCTCATTAAAAAACAGTGATGAAGTATGTATGCATATAATTATGCATAGAACTAAATATCTGAAATTAGCTCAGTAGGGGGCCTTCTTAATGCTTTTCTATGTATGGAATTTTCATTTCAGACTGGGGACCTGGGCCCTTTTGTTTCACTTCAGACTTTCTTTTCTCTGGGGGCAGGAGGGAGAGGTAAAGGAGAGGAGAGTGTTCTTTTTGACTGTAGCTCCAGGGTTCTGTAAGAGTAGTGTTATTACACATATGTTAGAGTAGAACAGACCAACTTTTCCATAATCATGTTTATTTTTGAGGGTGTGTGGTCTGATGATGAGTTCAGTTATCAGATATGAAGACATGAATGAATGGTCTGGCTGTTAAATATGGAAAATAATTGCAAACTGTTTGCATGATATGCTCCTAGGAGTAAGAAACAGGGATATTTTGTATTTTGCATAACTCTTAGGGAGTCATATAGTCACTTTATGTGGGAGATAGTCTTCTGAGATCTGTCGGTCTCATGGCTCTCCCTGCCTGTGAGCCATCATAAGCTAGGAGCCATTCTGAGAACCACTAAAGGGCCAGCTGAAGGTAGAACCAGAGTTTTGTGTGTGTTTTCATTCATTGCAGGTTTTATTGAGTATCTTCTGGGTGAGATGTCGTGTATACCTTGAATCAGACTGACCCCAGTCGGAGTCCTAGCTCAGCCACTTTCTAGTTGTGTAACCTCCAGCAAAGTCTCAGCTACCTCATCTATAAAACTGGAAAATGGTGCTAATGGCTACCCATAATGGTGATAATGGTGTGTTTGATTCCCATAGGATTATTTTGAGAATTAAATAAGATAATGCATACAAAGCATTTAGCATGGGCCTGACTGTATCGTTGACTTATGTATTGAAGAAATATATAATGTTTGTTCTGCCTTCTAGAAGCTTACACTCAAGTGGGGGCCACAGGCACATGTATAGATTCAGGAAAGAGAGAGAGATGTCAGCCTGCTGTGGTGTGGATGGGAAAGACTATATGGAGAGGCTGGGATTGGAGTTGCCATTTTGCACAACCCAGGGAGCATCATTCACATTAGGGTCTTTGTGAATTGGTCCCTCTGAGTGGCACAGAGGCACTGGTTGGGGTTTCAAGTGGACTGTGAAGGGTAGGTGGAATCTGGAGGGATGAGGGTGTACTTGGCAGGAATAAACTAGATTCTTTCAGAGGAAGGAGAGTTGTCTCAGCTGTCAGGAGAGCTGTTTGTGCTGAGGATGAGTAGGTGGCTGTGAGGTGAGAGATGGGTCCAGTGTTTTGCTTCTTTCCAAGTTCTGAAAATTGGAAGGAATGGACCTTTTGGTGTGATGAGTGCAGGTTGGGATAAAAGTCTCTGCTCTCTTCATAGTGTCTTCACTGAGTTTCCTTTGCGTAGGGCTGAGATCACCGTTTCCAAAAGGGCACTTTTCTGTCATAGCCTCTTAGCCTATCATAGTGAGCCACAAGGTTCACTTTCCCTTTCTGCCATTTATTTTCTTTTACTTTCACATTACAGACCTTATTTTGTTAAATATCACGTTTACTCAATACATGTGGAGTGATCAAGATGTCTTTTATGCTGGTTCAGTTCTGTATAGCCTTCAATTTCTTTTTAACATCTTTATGCACTTTTTCTTTCCTTAACCTCTATGGAATTTATTCTGCTCCTTAAGTGCTCTTAAAGGCTTTAAGTATATCATGGCATACATTAGGTGGCAAGAAAGATTTTCCTTATCATTAGTCTTCTGTTTTTTGTTTTTTTGTTTTTTTTTGGCATGTCTTTAGTAGATTTCACTTGTAAGGATGTAAAGTAACCATAATAACCAGAAGCAAATAGCATATTTGATTACCTGTGTCAGGAGGGGGAAATTTCCCCCTTCCCCTTTTTGAGTTCTTGTGGCTGGACTAATAATAGATTTGTCATAAGACAAATTAACAGGAGAAAAAACAATTTTATTTCATGTACATAGGAGATCATAAAATTGATGCTCAGAGAATGACCAAAAAGCAGGCAGCTTTTATATCTTTTTAATTTAAAAAAGTTTTTAAATTTGTGAGGATTCGACTTAGGTATCGGTGCTCATTAGTGGGGACTCTTAAGAAAAGTTTGGGCTTTGGTAGTAAATTAGTAAAAAAAGTAACAGGATTTGTTTATACACACTTTTCAGCCCTGAATTCCCTAACTCTGATGGTAAGGATGTCTTTCTCCTTGGCCTTCAGGTACAGGGAGGGCGCCTTTCGCGTGAGAGATTTATCTCCTGCTTTCAGGGGGACAGAGGGAGTGTCCTTGCACCGGCAGTTTCTTAAGTAACTTTAAATCATAGTAATTAAAATATGCCATCAGGGTGGCCTGCCCTGGGCCCCGACACTTGTAAATAACTTTAGCTCTGCAAATCTTCCAAATTATTTAAAAAAAAACAAAAAACAAAAAACAAAAAATCCCACACATTTTATTGGATATTCAGTGTGCCCTAAAGCAAGCGCCGGCATGCTTTTCCTGTAAAGGGCCAGATAGCAAGTATTTGAGGCTTAGCGGGCCAGTCTCTGTTACGGACACTCAGTTCTGCCTTCCTAGTGTGAAAACAGCTATGGACAATATGTAAATGAATGGATGTGGCTATTTTGCAATAAAACTTTATTTATAGAAATAGCCAGAATTTTTCTCTCTGAGGCAGTCTGCTAATACCCGCCCTGAAGGAAAGATTTTGTTAGATTGGGAAGGTAAATGGAAAATTGAAATGAGATAAATCACAAAATTTCCAGCGAATTAACTCCACCAAAGACTAAAAAATTGAAAACTTTTTTTTCTCCTGTTGTTTGAAGTAAACTTCATTTTTAATAATGAGTTTGTAAATAAACTTTGAATATCTTTACCCATATGTATTTTTTTAAATACAGTATCTAAGGTTCAAAACAAGCCTCTCCATAATTTATTGTTTTCTTTGTACCAGGCACTGTGTAGGTCATTGGAAATCCACAAGTAATGTAGGCACAAACTTTCCTTTAGGAAGCCACAGTCTTGACTGTACACTCACTGCTGCCAAATGTGTCGACTGTGCACTCACTGCTGCCAAATGTGGGCTCAGGCCTTAGACCACTGGATACGTGATCCATGGTGCAAGAAACCTGCACTGCAGAAGAGACTTTTTTGGGGGTCCACTCATCTTTTCTCTCTCTATTGCATATATAATGGGATTTCTGTATTTTTGTTTCTCTTTATTTGTGTATTGTTAGAGAAAGCCTACTTGAAGAATTTACAAACGGTAAAAATATTTAACAATGTATAGTTGCCAAAACTCTTAGTCTTGATGATTCAAGAAGCTATGTGTTTTCCTGTCCTTTATAGTTTTTACTTAGTCACCTAAATTCCTTTTTTTTGAATTTACAGAATTATAGACTAGTCCCACCATATTGCAGAGGGTAGTATTCTCACAGTACTGAAATTCAAAAGTATAGAAATTGGCCTATATCCAGCCACCTTTCCAGAGTGTTGTTCTTGGAACTGAGCCATTTGGGCCTTTGCAGATTGGGTGGAGTTGTTGGGTTGAGGGAGGGAGGCAGTTCATGAAGGAGGAAGCTCTGGAGTCCAAGTAAGTATGGAATGTGGACCCTAAGTGGTGGGGCCCGTTGAGCACCGTTGGGTGATGACATTGCATGGACACTGGTTTGTTTTTTCTTAACGCTGACTGAAAGTCATTTCTGTTTTTTAGATTTGCTTTCAGACTGTTAACTCTGGAGTAGAGAATCCAAGAATGTGTAGCTTCCACTTCATCCCCCTTTCTTAAGGTTGTCTGTACCTCATTGCCCTGAGAAACTAAATGAAAGCCATAGCAGTACTGTCTTACATGATGAGTATAAATTCTATAATCATTGCTACTAATGGAAAGTATTTTGTTATGTACTTTACTCATATTTATTTTCCCTTTGTCATCTTCAAAAGCACTGCTGCCTGTGATATTTTTGGATTGGTACAATATTTTTTCATTTTGTCCATTCATCCATCCAGACATTCAGTAAATATTTACAGATACCTACCATGTGTTGAGTACTTTGCCAGATGCTGGGGATACAGTTATTACTAAGATAATCTTCCCATAAAGGGTTCATTGTCTGGGGGCAGGGGAAACAGTTGGACACCAAAATAGTTAACACAACGAGCTAAGTGCAGTGATAAAGGTTATGTGTAGCCTTTCAGGAGAACACCGTCATCTGGCACCTGGTTGACAGAAGGGAGGACAGGGCACCATTTAGGCATGGGGAATTTCACTGTTGTTACCACATAGTCTCGTGAAAGAGTATGTTGAGAGGTAACACAGTTGCTCTGTGACGGAGTTTGGACTTCAGCTGGCTGGAGGTGTGGGAAAGTCTGTAAGGGGAGGTCAAGAAGTTGAGTGACACAGGGATATTTGTGTTTTAGAAGAGTCCCTCTGATGACTGTGCAATGTAGTTTTCAGGGTCCAGGACTAGAAACAGAGTAAATAGGTGGGAATACCGAGGTATCTGAACTATTCAATCATGCACTTCATTTAGTAAACATTTATTGAGCACTTACTGTGTGCTATGCCCCTTCTAGGCACTTGGAATATATGTTCACATAGGAGAACAAAAGAGAGAAATAGTAGTAAGATTTTGGGATTATTAATACCAAAAAAAAAAAAAAAAGGCAGAATTTGTTGGTGTGATCATGACACGCTTTAGAATACATGACTGTTTTATGGAGGAGGAAATTGATTTGGGTTATTTTATCTTGGATTTTGGGTCATGCAACTCTAATATAGGAACTGGCCTCTTCTGTGGTGCAAATGAGTAAAGTTTTAATAAGTCAACTCTTACGGTTTAAAACTGATAATTCCAGTCTTAGATTATTCTGGGCCTTAGACTCTCATTTTCCTGCTCATTAGCACCTCTAATGGGGGGGAGAGGGGAGATTTCAGGCTGA